GAGTGATGATTTCTACGTGGAAAAAGATGATGTTGAATCAGTGGCGTCATACGTAACTGAGTATAATCTTATTAATTCAATAGCGGTATTAATAAGAAAGAAATAAATATCCGTTGGATCAACAAGATTATTTTCAATTACACTTGAACTGTTGACTCAACGTCGTTTGTTCCGCGCATTAATTAACATGAATGGTTAATGATCTGTTATCGAATTTAGGTATAGTTAATTCATGAAAAATCATTCTTAAAATAATGTGAAAACGTTCTGCGAATTTACGAAAAAAATTTTTAAAGGGATTATTAAGCACGGAGAAGACCGTGACGACGACGCGATCGTTCATTATTTCAGTGTATGTAATTATAGTTGATGGTGCAAAACAGGCAGACATATGCTTCATTAAGAATATTTCTTGGAAGCTGATTGAAAGACAAGTCTCTCAGTATTGTCTCTTCGAATTTGCAACTCGTCATTATCCATATTTCCATAAACAGAAATTATTTTATAACGTAAACCATTTTCATCTTCTTTTTGCACTCGCGCGCCATATCTTTCGCAAAAGTAAACTTTTCGAAAGTAAACAATTTTCTTCTGAAAAGTGGAAAATTTTCGTTTTTTGTGTTTTTTTTTTTAAATCTGACATTTGTTTAGCTATTTTTATCTTCCATGTACAATTCCGATCGATAAAATGCCGCGACGGCAAATACCGTCGGAATCAAATGAAATAATGTGAATGGTGTTTCGCGAGTCGCAGCAGGTGACCGATCGATCGTACAAACAACGAGCTACTTTATTATCGATGTAAATACGTGAGAATAATCCCATACATTTACTCGTGATACGCAAACACGCACGTACGCGCGTACGTCGCGATGTGATAAAACAACACGACGGCCGATCGAGCAACGTTCCAACGGCGTCGCTTAAGAACGATATAAATCCGACGTGGGCGTTAGACGGCGGATTTCCTGATTTACAACGGACTGTGCGAGGCGCGACGCGCCGTCACATTCGATTACAAGTAACGCGCGTCTGCAGAACCGCCTCTCTCTCCCTCCCTCCTCTCTCTCTCTCTCCGCTCTCTCTCCCTTCTTCTCCTTTTCCTCCTGTCTTTCCCTCCGTCCTTTCTCTCATCTCTGGCACCGCCACACAATGTTGAGACAAGGCGAATCTCCTCGGACGCGTTTTGCGCGTATTATATTATGTAAATACCGGCTTATTTCTGCATTCACGAAACGCGCAGCAACGAGGAGTCTCGCGGTATCCGACGAGGGCGAGATATGAGCAAAGACAGAGGAGGGAACGGGGGAGGGGAAACGAGGTTCGAAAGAGACAAGGAGTGTGAAATATTATCCGCGACGTAAATGCCCTCCCTCGAGTACAATGACAGCATCGCGTTTAATGCTACATATTGATATAAACTGCAAAACAATCGAAGATTGCAGCGTATACAAGTCATTTGCGAACAAAACGAATTGACGGAAAATCTCTGACCGAGAGGTAAAACAACGAATCGCGTTTCCATTCTTCACGTTGCATCCATGCCAACAAGAAGAGTTAAAAAATCACGACGGATAACGCGAGAATCAACTGATTTTTTTTTTTTTCAAGCTGCGCTTCTCGGACACGAATAGCTGTGTTAAATTGCATCGCTCGGTGTAAAACGAAATAGTGAGTTAAGATTCCGCGCGCGGATCGTATTACCGAAGACGCAGACAAATAATATGTAATGAACGTCTTGCCGAGGGGCCGATATATTGGAATTCGGAGGCCACACGAGTTTACCATTAATTAATATTCAAAGATACGCGGCGTGAGCAGCCTTGCGCGGCGGATAAAGACGCCAGATCGCCGCCGCCGCCGCCGCCGCCGCCGCCGCCGTCGCCGCCGTCGCCGCGCGGCCGATCGCACAATATTGGAATACGAAGGAATCTTCCACGGGATGCAGGGAGGGCTTTAAAACGAAGGTCGAGAGATTTTCACAATAAATTCCTCGTCGCTGCAGGCGCGCATATATGAATACGCGCCGTCTGTCCCGCGTACACAGTTTCCATAACGAATTCCCAACGCATTGAGTAATCGCCATCGCGATCGACGTGCGAGCGAATCCGCGCTTGTTATTTTGACTAGGCGGCACCACCTGCCGTGAAAACGCTACGCCAATTGCGAAAATCGAGAAATTACACGCAACGAGGCGGTTCAATTTAATCGTTAAAATACTCGACTCTGGCCGGGGGGGGGAGGGAGGGATTTACCGCGTTTTAATCGAGAAATCGCGTTACAGCGAAAACCGCGAAAGCGGATAGCGTTATGCGCGATGCTCGGCCGGACGGAGAAAACTCGCAGGAATTCAGACGGATCAGAGCCGCAATTAGTGGCAGCAAAGCAGATGAGTCGTATTAATTAATAAAGCGCCTTCGCTCCGAGCTAGGCGAGCTACATACACGATGATTTCATCAACGAAACGCGCGGCGCTAGAGATATCATGGCGTTTACGCGGTATTAATTATACATGAAATACTTCGTTTAATTTCCGTGCGATACCGTGCGGCTGATTCATCGTTCGGGGAGGAGTCCGATAGGCGGATCAACATCTTTTTTATCAATCTACGTTAATCGCATATAATAAAGCTCCGGTATCGGTACATTACGATCTACACAAGTTAATTATAGAAATCAGTGTACGGGATTCGTGAATTCGCGAAATGCAGCAACCTACAATTTAACTTGTCGACCATTGGACAATGCATCAATCATTAATAAAATTTCAGCCTATTAACGTCATATTTTTTTTTTGTTCAATTAATAATAGCATGCGAGACTCGAAACTCTAACCAAAGTACAATTCCTCTCTTTCAGTTTTCGCAAATTGATCATTTTTCTCGTACGCAAAATTTATGTTTCTTTTATCAAATATTAGATATATATATATCTTCAATAAAAAATTAAATATAATAAATGTACAACAAGTGTATGATGAATTTTTTTTAATTCTTTGTTTATAATTCGTTTCCGCTGGATAAAAATGATTATTTATGAATAAATACGGAGAAATTGTGGACAATCGAATGAGATACTAATTTTGCAAAAATTTGCATTTGAGAGTGAGATTTCACATTAGAATCTATTCGCGGCACAATAAATGTCACGGCCTAGGTTGCAATTTACACTTTACTCGTCACGGTTGATTCGTGCGTGTCTGGTCGTACCCTTTATTTCACGAATATACATGTGCACGATTACATCGCAGATTCTCATTCGAAAAAGGCCAGGAGCATCGTGTACGACATCGCTGTATCAGCGCGACATATTAAAGGCAGGTGTTCAGCAAGACGAACGGGTTGACTTTTAAGCAGATCGCACGCGCACCTGCCTGGGGATTTGGTACGGCTGCGAATAGAGGCAATGCGTCACCAGACTCACGAAGACACCGGGGAAAAGCGATGTATATTCACGAGACGTTGATATAACCCTATGACAGAAACACGCTGCTAAATCGGACACGACGAACCCGAGCGGGAATCGGCGAGAACCGCGGTGCAGGCATATCCTTTAAACAACTGTAGAAAGCGATGGGCGTCCGCGAATGAATCGATAAATCGAGGCAAGGATGATGACGTTATGCTAATGAGATTGACATATTTAAATCCAAATTTGGGTTAAGCAGCGACGACGGCGATGGAAATGCGCAGGCGAAACGCGGCGATTGGAAAGGAGAAACTTGCCGAGCCGCGAGAATGTTTAATCTATAACGGATCGCTTTTATGACATTGTCCTTTACCGCATTTATGCAAATATCTCGTTAGCGGAGTTGTCTCTCTCGCAACGCGAAAAAGAAACTCACGGAATTCGCCGCACAGAATTCGCCGAGGCGCGATCGAATATCAATCGCGCATGATCCAGCGTGATCGAGATGCACGATCGAAATAATGTGCGATGGAGGAAAAAGAGCGGAATAGAGATTTATTTCGTCTGCGACAGTTAGGTATGCCTCGGTAAGAAGTCGGTACATGAGCCACGATTACAGTTAGTCTCGGGAACCGACGAGTGTGCGCTTGCACGCGGCGAAGTTAGCTGAACGGTATCTCTTCGTTTTTTGTCAAAAATCCAACGAGCATCGCGAAGCGCGAGCTATCCCGATTCACGGTCGACGCGTCATGTCGAGACGCTAATCTTCGCTGCTTTATCAGACACTCGGGATACTCAAACGACAGCCACTCGCGATAACGCACGGAATCAGGAAGCGATGGAGCACGGCGCAATGGAGACTTCGATTATCGGCCCGATAATCGAAATACTCGTTGTCGTTTTAGGAAATGATCGATCCGATACGATGAGGAGAGCAGGTAGAGATCCATGTTGAATGAAACGATAACGGGATATCGCGAGTTCAACGAGCGATCAATCTGATTTTTCGCACGATCCCCACGGAATATCCCGCAAAATGCGTATATATCAGTGGCAAAATTTTCTCCTCGGAGCGATTTAATATCGATTGCCCGTCGGATCTTACGACGCGGAGGAAATAAATCGAGATAGCATGCGGAGAGAATTTTGTGCCACGAGATTATCCGCCAGCGTAAAGCGCCAAGATCAGTCTGGACTAAAATTCCTGCGCTTCTCTCCGGAGTCGGAGCGTCTCTTTATGGCGAGGAAAAGATGTTCGCTCGAGTGGTCGAAGTAAATGACGTCTTAAACCGGTGCGAAACGGCAGAGGACGAGAGATCGAAAGAGGAGCAGGAACGACTTGTCGAAGGGAAATGAAAAGAAGGCGCGGAAGGGTGGTAGTAAGGTGCGCTCTCTCTCTCGCGTGACGTCGTATCTGGTGCGTGACAGCTGCCGTCGGGCAGCTTGCTCAATCGGGGAAATATCAAGTTTCGTCTATAAGCGGGGACGGTATTTCGAGATATAAACCGCCGCGCACTTATGAGATTCGAGAGACGGGAGGGAGGGAGAGGGAGAGGGAGAGGGAGAGGGAGAGGGAGAGAGAGCGACGACAACGCGAAAACTTGGCACTTGACAGAGTTTATATATCGCAAAATGCACCACAAATTTTTCGAGTCGGTCTACTTGAAAGTTGGAAAAGAAATTGCAGAAAAATAAATTGCACGAATAACGTTCCAGCCAGTTTGACGCGATAAATTAAAAAATAGAATTTTATATAAATAATTTAGAATAAATTTATAATTCCGAATTTAAATGCTATGTATCTTAAAATGCATACGTTTATAAAATTTAGAATTAAAAAGTAATCAACCAATCGATCAGAATTATACATAATATTGTGTAATTACGATAACATAAAATGTAATTGGAAGAATTAGTTGGGCTATATTAGACGTGAATAAAATCTAAAACACGAATGTATCTATATTGCTCATTTGGCCTTCGTAATGTTAACGCACTTTGCAAGCGCTAATCCGTCGACGCGTAATCTGCAATTAATCACGAGCGTACCAGCTTTCCGTTTATAACGCCATCTTATGTAACGCTATGATTATCGGCCATCAAGTCGATACGCGCGCTTGAGCGATCATTGAAGCGATGCGGTGAAGAGAAGCTTAGGGCGCTGATTCTCGCGTTCATAAGTTATAACTCCGAGTACGAGCAGGAAATCGATCGTTATTGAAGGTAGGCCGTTCTCGGGCCGACAAGCGAGCTAGCATTTCGCCTAGGTCATGCCCAGAATAGTTAACCCCAGATGTCGTAAATGCGACACTTGACGCACTCGCGCGTCGTGCGAGGTCCAGTCTACACGATGCTCTTTCGATGTGCAGTGCCAGATAATTCCTTGGGAAACGTGACAGAGAGAAGGCGTATCAACGGGAAACGTTAAACGGACAATTAAAACTGTCCTCACTAATCCATTAATGTAATTTTAAATCGTGAAAACAATGTAAGATGTTTTCCTCAGACAGAATACGCATTGCTGTATCGTTTAGTTTTAGTAACATTTGAATTTTGAATTAACAGAGAATATTATTAGCGAGAGTACTATTAGAGGACTATTATGACACATTTTAGAAAACATGTTACGACCCACCAAAATTTAATAATTAAATATATCGGTTTCCATTTCTATTACTTTCGCATTGCATATTTTAAACACAGCCGATAAATATCGTTAACATGATGATCTGTTGCGAAAAGTGAGTACTTCGTCACTTTTGACGAATCGATCAAGATTAATGATTCGCTGGCGCGTACAACCTTTGACGGATGAATCGTCTCGCGAGATAAGCTTCGGAGTATCTATGACTTTTAGCGAACGCGTGATTCAGCATGCGCGATCGTAAGCCGTTCCTAGTAATTCGTACGAAAAAGATCATTGAGAAGTAATCGATAATTGCGCGAGTGACTCATCGGAGAGCGATTCGAGAATGTTAATAATTATGTGAAGAGCGAGTGGAGAGAACGTGGCATTTAATGCGTCGATATCGAAATTGCTATGCGTATGCGAGAAAAATAATTATATGCGCGAAACGATCGAAATAGCGCAATCGAGAAATCTCGCAGCCTGGTTGATAAGCCCGGTTGATAAGCACGCTCGTATATAATCATCGAAGCCGAACCGGAAATTCGAATAGTTTTCTCGAGCTCATTAATAACGAGAACGTGTGCTAATAAGGGAATTAATATATGCCTTGTAATGAAAAATTATCGCTGTCAGAACTGCGAGGGCAAATATGATTGTATCGGTCGGACTGAAATCGAGGTAATCACCTGCGCAAACAATTGACCCTAATATGGCTGACATGATTTTAAGATAATATGCACACAAGACCCATATGGCACGAACGGAGATTTAAAGCGAACTTCATTCTAGTTGTCAATATTAACCGGATAATAATAAAAACAAATGTTCAATTAAAAATATGTGAACGAAAGCGGAGAATTTTGTTAGTTTTGCGCGGAATATAACAAAATTTATCAGTAATATTTATCAGTTTTAATTTACATCAATGAAAATAAGCATGCGTTTATCGTTCGATCGAAATTGTTGATAGAATTTCTTGATATTTAGATTCAAAATCGATTTAAACAGATTGTGTAAATCTTACCTGCTCCTTATCCTTTTCGGTGGCCTCATCTTTGTCTTTTTCTTTATCCTCGGCGGTGTCCGTGTGCGGTGCTATGCCGTTGGTGGTAGGCTTCGTGTCGGCCTCCTCGATCCTTTCCAGCTTGCCATCACCAGGTGCGGCCGCATCGCCGACGACGCCTCCTTCGGCGGGTATTCCCTCCTTCTTCGGCGTCGTCGTTATATCCACGGACCTCTTGCTCTGTCTCGCTCCCATGTTTGCTTCTTACTTTCTCGTGCCACCTGTCTTTATCTCACTTGCTTCTGGGTACCAGGTGGTGTCCAGCTAAACCGTCCTGCAATCAGAGAGCAAGGAAACAGATTAAAATCTTTTGTAGAATTTTCCAAGGTACGATAGAAGAGATAAATAAAAACCAATCTAACCCCGGAGAATGTACTGAATGATAAAATTAAGAGCGAAAGGAATCGAGAGGCCGAGAGAGCGAGAGCTCAAAAAATCCGCGGGTTTGTTCGGGTTCTGCAATTTGACGCGGTTACACACGTCGATCTGCACGACGGTTTCGCCGCGGATAAGTTCATCCGCTTCGCGATGAAGGAATTGAGGAGCGGGAGTAAACTTTCACCAGCAGAAGATACATCTGGGATCCTGTCGGCGAGCTCGCTTTGTGCCGACGAAGGAGGATCTGATTGTAAGAACGAGCGAGTCCGAAACGCAACGGCCGTGATTCGACACGAAAACGGCACAACTTATATTCATCCGCGCCAGATTGGCCCGATAAGCAAGATTTATGCTTATCGACCGTGCAACCGCGCCCTACATAATTGATAGCCACTTTCGTGCGAATTGACGTACAGGTGTATCTCTCTCTTTCTTTCTTTCTTTTTCTCTCGCCAGAAACCTCTCCTTAAAAATTCGCGTTGTATCGAGCGACGAGAGGACGATAATGAGACGAAACGAGTACGAAAAGCCACAGTTCGGGAAAACAAAGAACAACGGCACAACGAAGAGACTCTTTGCTATCGAAGACACAACTAGGCATTGTCCTATCCAAGGATTCGCTTGTATTCGTTTCCGTTATGTGTATTTGGGTATATGTATGTACTCGGTCGAAATGCAAAAAACAAACCAGTCGGAAAGCCGGTAAACGCGCGAAAGCGCTTTTGTCAACAATACCGAGGCTATTATTTATACGGAACGTTATGTACATCCGACTGCTACGTTAAAAATAATTGCACGTACAACGTTGTCGTCCGATCGAGGTAAATATTCAACGTCAATTTTACACTGTTATTCGCGACGTTATTCCGTTATATACACGTTTTTCCGTTTCAGAACACTGAACATCGCAGATGTGTGCCGTTCCCGATGAAAAAGTGTAGATTCACTTTTACCTGCGACGGAACACTAGGAATAGAAATACACGTCATTGTCGTTGTCGTCATCGTCGTCTAATTACCCGCGGAAAAGAAATAGCTGGTTGGACTTGGTCGGGGAACGAGAATAACGGCACGACTTCGCTAGGTACGAAAGCGGAAACGCACCGCGCGAGAGAACGGCTGCGAAAAACTAGCACAGCGTGGCGAAGCGCGCTAAAAGCCAGGCTAGACCGCTCGTTTGTTGTGCGCGTGTTAACGCGCATTTAAACGACCACGTGGGTTCGCGCACGCACGCACGCACGCATCGTGTATCGCCGCCGTATGCGTGCGCGCGCGCGCGAGCAGCTGACGGCCGCGATGCGTAACGCATCTGTGCTCGCGATGAAGTTACGCGCGAGGTCATCCTTTGTGTGCCAGCCAATGAGGAAGCTGGAGAGAAATGATGGGAAATGATACGAATCGCCGGGATTTTTCGAAGCGAATGTATGGATACGAATAAATCGCGCATACAGAAAACTTTCTCTACGAATTCGTTGATTCGAGATAGATTTTCCTGTGTGTACGAAAATATATTATCGACTGTCTCTCTTAGTGAAAATCAAAATTGAATTGAGAATTAAGATTAAAAAATAAAAATCTTATTCGATCTTTTCCGTTTTAGAAAAATCTTTCTTCTTTTTAAATTCCACTTATTAAATGCAATATGTATTGTTATAAAAAGAATGAAAATTTTCTTGTTATTAATAAAATTAATTACATGATTAAATGTTCTTTCATTCGTTATCGCAATAAAGATAAATGCCTTGTAAGTGGATGATAAAATTTAATATGACCACGATAGATAAAGAGTAAACAAGTAAATGCGATATCAACATTATTATACTTTTAATACTTTTAATCTATTATATAACCGCGCAAGATTCGGTTGCTATGTGTAAAGCACCTCATGACCCGTATATCTCATGATTTTTTAAGCGTTTCTCCTCTACACTTTGCGTTAATGTTTAAGATAAAATCGATAGCTTGCGTTCTAAAAGTCAATAATTGCTATCAGTACAAGTGGCATTTAAACACATTCGTCGTGGCATGTCGTTATTACAAATTTATTCGTACCATCTATTTCCACTCTCCTTTTGTTAAATAAATTCATCGAGCACATTTTCCGGATCTCGGATGTTTTTCTCTAGAAAAAAGTTCCATTAACGAGGTGATTTTCATCGCGCAGCGCGAGGCGGAATTGACTTTCTAGCTTTCTAGCGACGATTCGTCTTTCTCGAGCGAATTCACCCGGCGCAATCCTCGCGCAGTTGCAGTTAAGTTACACGGATAAGTCAGCGAACGAACAGCCACATTTAGCGCTAACTGAACGACGAGAATACCGAACGTAGGTCGATTCTCTTCACGATCGGATTTCGTTTCGCGAAAGCAAAACTACGCGCGTCAATACGAAGCCGGAGAGGCCTGAAGCGGCTACAGCTAATATCATTGTCACTGCACAATGCCGTTTGTTTCTAGGCATCCTATTCATGGTGCATTGCACCTCGCACGTAGTGCATCGACTGACACGTCGCTCGCGTGTGTGTCGGGTGACGGAGTCCGAGACGGAAACACGATGACACAATATTGTCACCTCCACGAGAATTCCTCGTAGCTCCGCTGGCATAATTTTTGACACATTTCATCACAACCCGATAACGAAGTTTAACGAAACACAATCGAGAAATTCCAAACGGGTCATTTCGTCGATAAGCTCGTGCGCAAGTGTGTTCCTATGTAAAGATTACAAATTGATAACAATCTCTCGAAATAAATTCTATTTGTCGATGAGCAAAGCTCTACGATGGAACCGTTATTACAATTCGCCTTCAGAAATAATGGAACGTAATGCCGCCCCTATGATCTAACGAATGGCAACGTTCCCCCTCGACCTAGCCAAATTTTCGGAACAAATTGCAATGGATTTCACACAAAGGAAGCGCGCGCCGCACCGTCGAGAGGAGGATAGCTATGCGCGTTCCGCTTCGCTTCATCTTTATTCCTTCCTGGATTGCCGAGATGAATTAATAGAATAATTCGCGTAACTTTGCCGAGATAATAAACGAGGACATCGATTCGCTACTAAGCGTTCTCCTTTTTTCACGATCGATTTATTCGCGCGTGCGGCAGCCCCCTCCGAAAATTGCACACTTCACGCGAGATTTCCTGAAACATCTCACATGCCGGAAGAGAATCATCGCTAAAGCATTTGTAAAAATAGAAAAAGGAGAGACACAATTAGCGTCCGCTTATATCGGGCAGTGGCAGGAAGGATTTCGACAAATATTTATGTTATCCCATATCACGCTTGTGCGTACCACATGGGTGCGTCTCGCCAAGCATCATTACAGTAAGAAATAGCCCCATTACACATCCGAGAAATGCCATAGACGATCACACGTGACTACCACGAGAGAAGAACGTGGGAAATAGAAAATCATATCGCCCTCCCTCCGTCGAAAAATATCGGTATTATTCGTTTTGCGTAGCAGCGACTTCTCTCTCTCTCCCCCTTTGCTTCCCCGATCACGGATTCGAGGCGCGAATTTCCGGTGGTGGAGGAAGGTCACGGAGGCGTATCGCGGACGCGACGCTATATTTAGAGGCGTGTGACATCGCCGGGTTCGCGAGATAAACGTCGGTCGAACAGGCGCCGCGACACTGGAAAAACACGACCGCCACTGTTTGCGCGTGCACGCGTCTCGTGAACGCGTTGCTCTCTCGGGGCCCCGAGGTTCCCCGCGATAAAAATAGTCCCGGCGGAGAAAGAAAATTCATCGCCGCGCGCGCGCGCGCGCGCGCGCGAGGAGAGAAAGAGACAGAGAGACGCGCTCTTCCGAGCCGATCTATGCGACGCATACGTTCTTCTGCGTCGCTATTTATTTTCCTTGTCCTTCGAATCGCTCTTTTTCGCTTCGCCGCGCCTTGTTTTATTTTCACATTACAATCCCGCGTACTATCATCGGGCTGACCGTTTATATCATCCTCGGAGAGGAGAACGCGCGCAAGAACTGGTAATGCGAGATGCCTTGCGTAAGAGTAAACGATAATTGAACAGATATCTTTTCACGTTTCAAGACTTTGACCGCGCAGTATTTAGCGACGTGCGTCTCAATAAGTGCTGAGTTATAATTATTATTACGTTGTACCCTCGCAATCGCATCAGCGTTGCTCACAAAGCTATTTTCCCGAGTACGCCAGACTCCCGTTCCTGTTAGTTCGCTAACAAAACTATGCGAGCGTAACGTCAAAGCTCCACCGCTCGGAACGATATTATTCTTGATCAAGCTACAATTTCATAATCATCCACAAAAACAACGTTCTCTCAATGTTAATAAAATATGAGAACAAAAGATAACGAAAAATAGCCTGACAAAGATCAGCAAAATTGACCAAGCCAAAGCCGACAACAGCGGCGTAATAATTCTTTTACGACGCGTTCTTTCCTCAAATAAATTGTTTTGCGGCGCACAGCGTTGCGAAACAGCGTTGCGCCGCTCGAGGCCGCGCAGATAGAAATGCGCACACGCGAGAAGGCGTGTTGAATGTGTACAAAGAATCGTTGCGATATCGCTGGCGAGTGTATGATACACGGAGATGGATTCCGAACTTTTCGAGGCAGGTAAAAGATGATCGAGAGAGAAATGCGAAAAGCGGTTGCGAAACAAACTTCTACGAAAACACACGACGAAACACACGAAAACAAACTTTTACGATACAGCCTCCTTCTTCTTCTTCTTTTCCTCGTATTATACCTCCGCTTCCCGAGTGGAGGTATAATGAGCGCCGTGATTTCTTTCGATCAATATCGCTCAATAGCTCAATTGATTAATAAGCGCATTCAAAAAGTCGATGCCGTCTATTAAAGCGTTAACGACGACATAACGGCCGTCGTTGTGCCAGAGAATTCCTCTCCGGCGATAATGCGAATGGCGATAAGCGATGCACCGAGAAGAAAACGAACGGAATGAGCTATTATGTGAACATAATGAAACAACAACGACAAGAAGCGGCCGGAAAATTGGATACCTCGCGGCGATTTCAAGGTTGCGCAGGTGCATAAATAGGCATCGATGACTCGCGTGTTTGTGCGCGGTGTTCTCAATTGGCGTTTTTTTTTTTCCTCGGCAGGAAGCTGTATCTTCTTCGCACTCGCGTCCAGGATACTTTTCCCATAAGTAAATATAGACCAGGTGTCTGCTCAAACCCGAAAAAAAATTTTCTGGAGATTTCTTTATTTTCAAAACAATTTATTAAGAATCATAGATAAAAGTATTTTTAAATGTACCTTACAAATAAAAATATCATGCAAGAGTCTTAATGTTTTTCATCCATAAAAGTTTATGAATTCATAAAATTAAGAATCACTCAAGTTTCAATAATTAAATTTGAAAATTTGAAAGAAACTGTGAGAGAGACTCTGAACAGTACATACTTTAAATTACATAAAATTTTCGAACTTTATTTTTAAAAATTACAAATAAAAAATTATATAATGCATAATATAAAATTCAATTTTTATAAAATTATTAAAATAAATGTAAATTTCTCTTTTAAACGAAATTATACCCAACATGAATTGTGTTCAATATTATCGTTAACAATCGATAACTCCCGATTATAAGGTAAAAACAAAATATTAGGAAAGGCAACTTCAAAAAAATTCTCTAAAGATCCCTTAATTTTTCGATATGAACAAATTCGATATAAATTCCTTGAGAATTCCAAGTAAACAACGTTTCAAGTTTTTAAATTAATTGATATCACTGATTTTTACATAAGCCAGCAAATAATATCAGATTACGTTACAAAGTTTGCGTTTCACTATCACCGCGTTGTAAATAGATTCTAATTCTTGCGTGAACAAGAACACTCTATTCCCGAATGATAAGACAAGATAAAATCGAGATTGATGTTCATCCGCAACCTGACTCAACACTTCGTCAAATCGATGTCACATCCGCTGACTCATCCGATGCTCCAAATGACATACGCATTCTCCACGTAAACAAAAAATTCCTTTCTCTACGACACTGCACGAGAGTGCGCCCGTCCCCCTATTTCCCACGGGCACGAAATATACGTGCGTGTGTGCGTATGGTGCGCTGTAACTGTACGCCCAATCAATCAGCCATTATTTCCTCGCGCCTGATGCCATTTAATTTGACAGTCGAGCTCGACAGAAAAGTGACACACATTGAAACATTAAAATAGCAGAATAAGGACAAATGTAATCATTAAAAATAAGATAATGACTAGAGGAAGGGACTAAAGGACTATCAATCGGATGGCGAGCAAGCCTCTCCTTCTCGGAGGTTGCGCGCGACGAGAGAAAAATGCAACAAAGAGGACAACACGAATAAAATGATTCTTCGCCCATTGAAATGGCACTTTGACATTGCGATTAGTTAGGAATATAGACATACTACTGCGGCTTGTATTCCTTTTTGTTCCTCTCATTCTTTCGTCTCATTGTGCTGACCCCATTTCGTTCCCGAAAAAAAAAAAGACATCTGCTCTTTCTCTCGCAGCCGTTGTCAAAATTGAGAATAACGTAGCGCGCGAAAGAATAAGAGTCGGGCCCGTATGCGAATGACGCGTGTCCCGCATGCGTGAGTAAATACGCGCTCGCACGTGCTCGTTCGCGTTCGCTCGTGCTCGCCCTGCCGAAAATCGACGGCCGTCGTAAGGGCAAACGTAGAAAGTTAGCGGGCCTGAAAAATACGTGGGCATACGTGTGTGTCCGGAGTGCGCGTCGCCGCACGAATCTATTTTTGGCCCGGTTGCGGCGCGTGCACCCCCTCGTCCTGTGTAAACACGCGACCGGAACGCAACAGGGGCGAAACAAAGTCCCTGGAAGCGGATCCTAAAGAGCGTTCGTAAAAACGGTGCCGGACAAAACAGGAACGGGTTCGCGTCGACGATTGAAAAAAGACTCGGCGGAATCAGCACGACTCGAAAAATAGAGCGATTAACATTTAAGTTTCAATATTTTGGCACAGGATCGAGACTTTCCTTGACGATGGCGGGCAATTTCATCGATCGCGAATACACAGCGATAATCAACCAAGTCCGAGTTTCGCATTTCCATCGCGCTCGGCGAGCAAGCCGCTCTCCTTCTCGGAGGCTGCGCGCGACGAGAGAAAGGCAGATGTGGACAAGTTAACGACCCGTTATCGCTGCCGCTGCCGCTGTCGCTGCCGCCGCCGTCGTTGCTGAAACTGGTTGCTGCCGATTGCAAGAAGCGGGGTGCGGATCGAGGGGATCGTGGCAAGCCCCGCGTGGGGGAGAGGGCCCCGGGGCGCGCGTTGCACCGAGGCGCGGCAAAGCGCGAGGCGAATCGCAATCGCGCGCGAGAGGT